CAGATCTCTGATATCAGATGGAGCTTGGCCATTTAAGGCTTTATATGTGAGAAGGAGGGTTTTAAATTCTATTCTGGATTTAACAGGAAGCTAATGAAGAGAAGCCAGGATAGGAGAGATATGATCTCTCTTTTTAATTTTCATCAGAACTCTGGCTGCAGCATTTTGGATCAGCTGAAGGCTTTTAACTACAGTTTGTGGACTTCCTGATAGTAAAGAATTACAATAGTCCAGCCTTGAAGTAACAAATGCATGGACTAGTTTCTCAGCATCACCCCTGGACAGGAGATTTCTAATTTTTGCAATATTCCACAGATGAAAGAAGGAAATTCTAGAAACCTCTTTGATATGGAATTTAAATGAAAGGTCCTGATCAAAAACAACACCAAGATTTTTTACTTTATTTTCTGAAATCAGTTTAATCCCATCCAAATGAAGTGATTCATCAGCTTATTTTTCAAAGACTCTGGTCCAAAAACTATAACTTCTGTTTTGTCTGAATTCAGAAGGAGAAAGTTAAGAGTCATCCAGGTTTGTATGTCTTCAAGACATGCCTGTAATCTATGTAATGGGTTAGCTTCATCTGGATTTATAGACAGATATAGCTGGGTATCATCAGCATAACAGTGAAAATTAATCCCATGCTGTCTAATAACTCTACCGATTGGTAGCATGTATAAAGTAAAGAGAATTGGTCCTAGCACTGATCCCTGTGGTACTCCACAGGTAACCTTTGAGCATGTTGAAGATCTATCATTAACATGAACAAACTGAATTTGATCAGATAGATAAGATTTAAACCAGTCTAGTGCTGTTCCTCCAACAAAATACTCAGGAGAAGAATATTATTGTCAACTGTATCAAATGCAGCACTGAGATCCAACAGGACGAGCACAGATACAAGTACATTATCTGAGGCCATGAGAATATCATTAGTGACTTTCACTAGAGCTGTTTCAGTGCTATGATGAGATCTAAAGCCAGACTGAAAATCTTCAAAAAGTCATTATGGTGTAAGTGATCTCAAACTTGTTTGGCAACTACTTTCTCAAGAATTTTAGATAACAAAGGAAGATTGGATATAGGTCTATAATTTACCAAGTCATCTGTATCAAGAGATGGTTGACCCCCCCACCCCACCCCACCTCGCACACATCCATGCTGACGGCTGCGTAAGCCATACTGTGGCAGTTTGACGTCAGATAAGTGTCTATGTTCAGAAAATTGGAAAATGACGATGACTACGTAATTTCTACAGAAATGAATGTGCAGTTGTTCGCCTCATACACCTGTTTTCCTCTGGAAACTGAATCAGTAAAAAGTGTTTGAAATGTTAAAAAATGGAAATGGTTTATGTTATTGGATGTTAAAATGTTCACAGAAAACTTAACATCCATTTCAGCACCATCCTCACCACCTCAAGGTTCAGTTTTATTCAGAGCCATTTTAAAGAAAATCAAAGTTTCTCTTTAACTGTGCAAATGCCTGTAGGATTTATCTCCCTATGAATCTGTGCCCTGGTCCTTCCAGCCTCTTCTGAAGTGCCTCAAGTATGTCAAAGCATGGATATTTAGTCCTAGCAGTTCTTCCCAAAACTCTCCTCCAAACCTCGATGATCTGGAATCTGACGTTTAGCAACAGGTTATAAATCTTGATGCAACCCTGGTCAGCTGTGTTTGGCTGATATGTGTATTTTATTTCATGCTGGACTCAGTCAGACCTCCTACCTTCACTTTATCCAAAATAATATTGCACAAATAAACACAACCATTTAGTCATCTTACTTCAGGCTCACTGTTTGAAAAACATTGATGTAAAAAAATTAACTTGGCCTTCAAACGGGTTAATAACCTCCCTCTAACCTACTGGCCTCTTAATATTATTATCTGGTGTTCAACCTAATTGCTTTTACTTAAAACAGTTTAACATTCGTAAGATTTAGAATGAATGCATTTTGCTGTTAAAAGTTTGTATTAACTGTGATAAGTCAGAATGATACTAACTTGCACTGCAAAAAATGATCAAGAAATAAGTAAAAAAATTCCTTAAAATAAGTGGATTTACATTAATTTGAGTAGGTAGATAAGATGATTTGCCAATAGAATGAGCATTTAACTTTTTTGTTTTTAGGTTTTTCCAGCCCCAGTGGCTTGTGTTTTTGAACAGTGGGCCGACAGAAAAAGGGAGTACGGGAGGACGGGGAGAGACCTGCAACAAAGGACCACAGTTCAGATTCTAACCCAGGTCGGCCATGTCAAGGAAGGCCTCTGTACATGGGTCGTGCGCGCTAACTACTGTGCCACCGAAGCATGCCAAAGTATTTAAAGGAGAAGTCCAATCATATTCAGAATTCAAACTCCTGAAAGTACTTTAAATATGAAATTATTACATAATGTTTAATAAATAATAAGTATTTTAAGTTAAGAGTAATTTTCATTTGAATGTGCTTTACTGGAGGCGTCCATGTTTGTCAAAGAACACTACTGCCACCTACTGGTTTGTTACGTCACGGTGCGGTATCGGCTGTTGATCAAGTCCCAGTGCTGTATCTGGTGTTTGTCACAACGCGCTATTATCCAAGTCATCTTGAAAACATTCTTCTTCCAAATGTTGGCTACATATTACGTGTTTTTTCTCTTGCCAGAAGTTTGATGGCAAATCCTCCCTCTTCAAGTTGGCAATCCAACCACCAACCTGTCCGTGGAGGATCAGGAATCAGAAAGGCAAAATAACAAATTTTTTCACTTTAATCCGATGTATTCCAACATCCAACTGCCATGCATGTGGGCATTGTCAGTTTCACTATAGCTCTGGTGAATTTCAATGGTGAAGTCCTCTGTAAATCTTCAATAGTTGTTGATTGTAGATGTTTCTAGTAGTACATATTAGTTTTAGGTATAAATAATGATCCACTGCTTATTCCATGCTGACCGGACTTTTCCTTTAACTCTTAAAATATGATATATAGATAATATGCAATAATAAGACAATGTAATTCTTTTTCCTTCTTTCAAATGCAAATTGTCTTGTTTCATTGGCAAGTGTCTCACTTACCTCATATTTTCCAGAAAAAAATTAACTTATTTTTATGAAAACATTGCTTATTCAGATTGCAATTTTTTGTAGTGTGAGGCCTTCTTTTGTTGGGCAAACATCTGACCGCCCATTAGCTCATAGACTGATTTCTATTGTTTTAAAATGCTGAGAGATTCGCCTTCTGCAGGGAAAATAAAATATTTCCTGTCCACAAATAACAAAGATGCCAAACAGGTTCATGAAACTTTTAGCTAATCAAGTAAGATTTTAGCAGCCTTTTATTAACTGAACAATTAGTCGGTCAGTATTAACTGATTTTAACCACCTAATGAGTGGAAAAATCAGCTTAAGTCCAGAAAAGAAACCAAAGGATCTTCTGAAAGACTTCTACATTTTCCACCAAAAAGGTAGTAGAAGATCATAAGGGTATCTACCTGTCTGAATCTGGCTTGTTCCTGTATCAGATCAGAAAATTTGGCTTCTAGTATTAACTTCCACTTAACTTCATTCCTAGAACTTTGAGGCGAACAAAGATTCATTATTTTCTTTCTTGGAGGCCGTTTAAAGGCTGACATCAGCCCCTGACCTTCACGCTGTGGGAGCAGTTAGATACCAAGTCTTTCCAGAACACCTTCGACATTCTTTGTGATTCCAACAGGTCAGTTAGGGATCAAAGCCTCTTCAGGCATTTCATTCTTTCAGAAACTTTATTCAGTATTTCAGCAAGGCCATTTAAAAAAACTTGTTGCTATATGATGCTGATTTGGACACCAATGTTCCTGATTGTTTTATAATGTCTGAAGTTATTCAGACAGAGTTATAGCATCTTTATCAGGGGAGGTTTAATGCACATGAGAAGTAGCTCAGTGGTGGGTTATGTTAAGGCTGCAGGATCCTGCTTCATATCCCAGACTCCACACTGCAGAACCTATCTAGAAATAAGTGAAAATGTCTTAAATTACGTGTATTTACCATTAATTTGAGCAGGTAAATACAATGGTATTTTTACTCTTAAAGTCAGATAATTAGATAATGTGCACTTGAAATGAGACGATGCAATTGTTTTTTCTTATTTTAAATGTAAATTATTTTGTTCCATTGGCAACATATCTTACTTACATCCTCAACTATAGAAAAAATACATTTATTTTGAGAAAAAATTATTTGGATTTAAATGTTTTGCAGTGCAAGACCATAACCAGGGAGCATTCTGGGTCTAAGGCACTGAGGCCGCTCTCTGATTCACGGCTGATGGATTACAGGACAAATTTCATGAAATCAAACACTAAAATATGATCTAATATGCTGAAAATCATCTTGCCTGAACATTTTAGGAGCTTATGTAATAATGGTTTATCTTGAACCTTATCATGCAACAAAACAGATTTAGGAGCTGTATCTTATATCTGTTTAAAATTGGTTTATCAACTAATATAAAAGAAAATAAAAAGTTGAGGTCAAGTTTGGATTATCTCTGCGGAAAAAAACACTAACTGATACAAATTTGAATTTCTCTCTATATTTTTTTTATCAAGGTGTGAAATAATAAAAAAGTTGCTTTTTATATGTCTAATTGGAACAAATTAATTGTTTGTGTTGCTCAGATTTGCTCACGAATCTTTGAGCAAAGCTGGTTTAGATCACCAGTTTATCAGGCTGCTGCACACAGACTGGAGGTCATGACCCTCAGGGCTTTTTAACTGATTACTGTTGCAGTGCCAAAGCACAACAAACCAGCTTTAAGTTAAATGTCATGTCAAGTGGTGTTCAATGTTTTTTTTTTCTCATTCATGCTTTAGAATCTCAGGTGAAGCTTAAAACCAACGGGGAAATAAAAACAATTTCCCTTCAGAAAAACACATTTTATTAAAACTGTAACATTTTTTCTAGTTATGGTGAAATAAATAAGTGAATGCAACTCTTCAGTACAAAACAGGTTCGAGCTTATAATGGAGTAAAGTAAAAAAAAACAAAATGTAAAAACAGTCAGTATAAAAACCTTTCTTTGCATAGAGTACGCTTCCATTCAACCAAAAAGTGCTAAATAATTCATAAAGGCCTTATGTGTTACACAGCCAGCTAACATCTAAGCAGTGTCACAAACGGAAAAAACATGAGACAAAAAAAAAATACCAAAAATGTGAAGTAAAGTGGCTTAGACAGGTAACTCAACATGTGCAAACTTACCGAGCAAACAGCAGACAGACATAAGCTGGTCAAATGACACAGGTGAAGAGTGTTTGAAACCAAGCTAGACTTAGAAGGAATCTTCAGAGCTTCAGACGTCACACCCATAAAGCTCCTCATAAGTACTGGAAGTACTGTGTGGAAATCTGAGTCGTGGAACCAGAAAAACTACATTACAGTGTCACAGGACCTCCTGGATTGTAAATGAGGAGCTGACACCTCTGTGACTGCAGGTCTGGGGGAAGATCATTGTCTGGTTTCCCTCTAGATCTGTTGATTCCAAACTGATCCCAGGTTCTAATCTGACTGCAGTGGTCCCTACTTTGTAAGATCATCTCTTAAAGCTGATATCAAATCTTTTATAGTAAAGTGTCTTAAAGATTTGGGATCTGGTAAAAGTCAACTTCATGCATCTCTTCAAGTGGGACTTCCTGAGACGGAAGGAGGCCTGCTGGTGGAGTTCTGCAGCTTTGGTCTCCTGCGTCCCGATGAAGGTTTGCTTTTAAACTGAAGTGATGAAAGAGCTTTCTTTGTGTGAGCTTCTCTCTTCGGGCTGTTGGGAGCTCCCAGAGTCTCAAAAAGTCTCTTCCGGAAAACAACTTTAAACTGAGAAAATAAATGAGTGTGAGTGGTTTGTTTAAGGACATCCAAATCAAATTTAAAAACCATCAAAATGGATCAATAGGAGTTGAGCGCATCATACATACCATGTCTTCCACTGTGGTGGTGGTGGTGTGTGTTGCTTTGGTTGAAGCTGTAGTCGGGGAAACTGTACTCAGCTGCTTGGCTTTTGGTTTGGCACAATACATCTCCAGATGGTAGAGTTCACAGCCAGAGGATCTGCAGCACTGGTCTACTATCCCCTTCCCCCTGGGCCGAGGGCCATACCCAGACCAGGAACCTTTACCTGCAGGAGCAGACATAGCACATGTAAGATCACACAGAAACAAGGTTGACATGGATGAATTCTTCTCAGCTTCCAAAAAAGGTCCACAAGTTAGAGAAAAAACTGATTTAAAAAATCTACCGTACGTTAGGACTGAGCTTTCATTAGAACCCACCATAAAATAACAGAAATTTAAGCAAAATCATATATTTGAATGGTTAAAATTTGCTCTATGGGAGTTAATAATACTTTACAGTAAATAACGGAACAACATACAGTTCTGTGTTTGGAACAAGTCCGGATGATATTTAATATCTGCCACTGGATTCCCAGAATGAGGCGACTGGATGAAATGATCTCATATAACTTGTTTATAACACTAGTTGAAGGAAAAGCACAGGTGGGTCTACAGCAGGGTGTGAACAGTGCACCCAGGGCCCCATTTGTGTGGCCCCTGATGTCACTTCAAGAATCATACAAGAACAGAAGGTTGATGCAGACCTTTTATTTTCAATTAGGGGGAAACTATTAATGCCTTGCGATAGACTGGTGACCCGTCCAGGGGGGACCCCGCCTCTCGCCCGTCTACAGCTGGGCCTGCACCCCTCATGACCCCAGCAGTGAAGGGATGGGTGGAAAACTATTACCCTTGCATGCAACCTGAATTCTGTTGTTAGTTGTGAGAATCCATGTTGGAGTGCCCCCACTTCAACCGTTCAAGACCGACCTAAAACTTCCATCTGTTTTTGTCATTATTTCATCTTTGATGGAGGACCAGCAAGAGTTTCACAAGCATAAGTTGTTGTCATTTTCATTTCTTACCGTGATAAATTAAAATCTTCTTTCATGGAAACTGTGTGGTCCAACACAAAGTTTAAAGCCAAGCTTTCATAGTAAATAGGATCACATTTATCCAGTGAATTCATGGCTTTGCTGCACCCAGATCTGCTTCTCATTTTAAAAGGAAGATGGATCCAAACCCTTTTCTTATGGCTGAAAATGTACCATACTAAATCTCTTAAATCAAGCAAAACAATCATTTTAAAATAATTTTTAAGGTTTGGGCCTACAATGATTTAGTACTTGCTTTACTACGTGTTTTCCTTTTTCATTGACCAGGTCAATATAATTTTCTTTTTTCTCATATCATTTTGGACATCACTGATCTAGACTGATGACTAGCAATTTATAAATCTAAGTTAGATTAACCAAAGTTCCTCTCAGTTTGGTTCTTCATCAGCTGTAAATCTCGACAGACTTGGCAGTGGAGTCTGGTGGCTTTGCCCGGTGCTCAATTGGCAGTAGGGTGTGAACCCGAGTCTATCATACGAAACCACAACTGACAGCTTAGAGTGGCCCCATTTTATTCCAGTTCACTCAGTTTAGATCATTTATCTGCTTCAAATTTCCATCAAAAGATGTTTCAGGATTAGCTGGTTCCACTTTAATCCAGTTCAAACAGTTAGATTTTTCTGTTGGATGTTATGTTTTTAATTTTAATCTTACATTTTCTTTTCTTCTTTTTTTTATTTTTACTTTTTAGGTCACCAGATCTCTACTTAATGGTTTAGATTTTATTTTTTCTCTTCTTGTGGCTTATTTACTCTTGTGCTTATTGACTGAATAATAATTCTTACCCAAATTCTTCATAGCAATTTTGCAATCAAATGAAATCTGTCCCCTGCATTAACCTGTAAGAGGGGTGCTAGAAGTGCACAGAGAGCATTCTGAGTCTAAGGGTCCCGTTCAGGGACCCAGAGAAGCAGCCTGTGTTTTCAAACTGCTAAGTGTTTCTAAATGATATATGAATATTTCTTGGGACTCAGAAGGCATCTGTCTACTGTATCTGTCTGCTATAGTATTTACAATGGAGAAAGTACCATTCATTTGTCTTCCAAGTGGAAAAGTTGTACAGTGGTGACTGAAGAAAATATACATTACTAAAACAGAGATGTAAAATGTAACTCAATCGGTCAAAACTGATATTTTTCTGGTGCATAACTCTGGGACATTTCAGAGTCACCGCCACTTATACAGTCAACCTGAAAAGGAAGAATTCATAACAAGTTTTCAGGAGAGTCTGAGGAGAAGCGGACGCCCCACCTCCTGCTGAGGGGTTCAGACTGAAGCGCAGGGCTGATGTGATGAACACTAAGTTGTGAAACTCAAGGTAATGAGCAAAATGATCACAAAATAAAATAAAGGGATGTTAAACATAAAAGTTTTTTTTTCTAGATATACGTTGCTGACTATAACAGAAGCTTTGTGCTGCAGCTTCTTCTTCTCCTCTCTGCACCTTTCCTTTGTTGTTTTTTTTTACTAAAAACCGAGCTGCTGTCAGATAAGGACTGTTTCAACAAGAAGGATATCACACTCTGAGGCACGGTGTTCTGGAGATGCCGCTGCTGTGTTGGTGGATTGCCATTAGACTGATAGCAGATGCACAAGGTGGCCTTGGTCAGAGCAGGCCGAAGGTAATCAGGTGAAAGGGCTTCTGGGTAATTGTGTGTGCACTGAGGTGGAGATGATACAGCTCTAAACAATGCAACCAAAAGATTCCTTCTGTCCATGGTTATGGTTATGGTCCGGCTCCAAAATGAAAAGAAAGTGTTTCTGACACTAAGCTTGTATAACTCCCTCAGGGGTATACAGTACGGTATTTTACTGTACTACATTCTACTGTACTGTATTTTACTGTACGGCATTTCAAAGTACCTTATATTGCTGTATGCATTTTTTGTGTCATTTTCTGTCCCTACTGTACAGACTCCCATTCGAAATGAAAAAGCAAAATTCTATTCTATTCCATTCTGTGTGTAATATTATTGTTTTAGACTTTCTCAGCATTTTTGTTTCAGGATTTTTAATGTTTATTTACACAAAACTAAATCCTTTTGTATTTCAATTTCATAAAAAAGGAAATAAAAATAAAAAAAACCATCACAGAATATAAGTAAGTTCAAGTTTAGTTATTTTATTTCTAAGATCTTTTTTTTCTGCATTAGAAAGTGAATGATATTTAGTGAATTGTTATTCTTTCCAGGAGACATGCACTTTTTTTCAGTCAGAAATCCCTTTTAATCAGAACACTATTTATTATTTTTTTGTATTTTTCTTATGCATGTCTTACTGTATGCATGTCTGCTTTGCAGAGTGAGTCTGGGTGAGACAACATGTCAGATATCTAGCCTGTCTTGTTCAACATGTGGCTGGTTAGTGTTAGGATGCTGACAGATGTCAGTAGGTAGAAAACTAAGGCCGGTCTGTTGTTTCCCAGTGACTTTCAGGGAAGGAGGAATATATACCAGACTGGCATATAAACCAAAATCTGGTTTGCCTCATGTTACACTGGGACTGATTGTGGATGTTTCTGTGCCTGGATGGGATTGAATGGATCTGATTTAATATGTTTGCATACAAGTTAAGCTTGTTTGTCTTGAAATTGTCTAAAGCGAAGACTTATGAAAATGAAATTAACCGAATGAAGGTTTAACAATAAAAACCGTGAGGTAAATTTAACACTTAACAACATATATGATGTTCTTAACATATCTCCACCAGTTGTTCATCATCATCATTTGTTTAAATTAATTCAGTATCTTTTATTTCTTCATTCTTTTACCTAAAATTATGTTTAAAAAACAACCTTCATGTGTTATTTTAATCAGGCATTTCTGAAAAAGAGATCATAAAATTCTTGAAACAAATCTTTTAATCAATTCATTTAGTTTTTGTCAAAAAAGGGAAACAAAAGAAACACAAAGATAAAATAAATATATATATATAAATAAATGTTCTTCATTCATCCAGTTTTTTCGCACATTTACTAAGTTTGCAGCAGCTTTACTCCAACACAATGAATTTCTATAACTGTGACTGACTCAGCAGCAGAAAATAAACAGGAAGGCTCACCTAAGTAGATTCCACGATCCCCACAGACGAATAGGAGGTCACTGAGGAGCTCTGAGCCACAGCGGAGCTGGGCGGCCTCCAGGGAGAGGGGCCAACCTGCCAGAAACATGCTGCAGAGCAGGACGCAGATCCGAACACTCAGCACCTGAAACCAGAGGGAGATCGGTCAGGTTATGCCAAAGCAGTTAGTGATGCAGACACTGGACCTATGGCCCCTTCAGTATCTTGCAAATAGATTTTTTCTTTAATAATTTTAAGGCGGAAGAAGGAAACTATTGCTAATGTCCTAAACTTCATTTCATCCCTGACCCATGAGAGGAAGGATGAACTGGTCCATAAATCCCAGATTTCTAAATACAGAACCACTATGACTGATGTCAAGCTAATGTGGATCAAACACATCCAGTGGTCACTGAGGACACTCAGCTCTCATCAGCGGCCTCATTTGGAGTGATCCTCTTTTTATGAAATCCCGTAGACTAGCAGCAAGCTTAATGCTTTTAAACCAAAGCACCAAATGTTGCACATAAAGATTTCATACTGCTTTGGGTTTTTTTACTGAAGCAGTTTTAAGCAATGTTTTTATTCCATTTATATAAATGTATCTGAGTCACAAACGGCAAAGAAATGATATGGAAAGATTTATCATAAACTTTCAAAACACAAACTAAAAAAGGGCTGCAGGACATTTAAATCTGGTTGGGATTTAACCAGAGAGATGAAATGACAAAGCATAAAGGATAAAGCAAAGCTTGCTGTTTGGAGAGTTTCTCTTTTTGCACCACTGATGGGTCTGAAAATGAACCTCAATTTTTGCTCCTTATTGATTTTAATGAATGCAAACTCTGTTCTTTTCTACAGGGAAGAGAGTAGAGCTTCAGAGGCATGAATGTTGCAGAAGCAGCTGGAAGAACATCAATAATAGTATAACTGAGACGAGATGTTTATGCATTTTCTTATCCTACAGTGATGATTTGATGTGCATGAAAAAATGATAATCAGATGTTTGTTCTATAAGCCTGGCATCATATTGATCAGAAATACCAGCAGCATCTTCATTTTTCAGCTCAGATTTCCCACATGGATCTAAATGATTTTCCTGGAATTAGCCAGCACAGTTTCCAAACCAGATGGATGAAATTTTTCTAAAAAAAAATGTGGCATGATTTACACTTTGAGTTCATCAAAGATGAACATTTATCTTTTCCCTGTTTTTCTTTTCGTATTTCCGAACCTTTTCATTGATCCATAACTGACTTTTTTTTTATGAATAATTACTTTTCAGGAGATAACGCTAAAGTAACACTTCCAGAGCTGCAGTGACACATGACCATCTGTCAGCAGCTTTGAAGGTTTCAACTTATTTTTCCAGCACGTCATTTATCTTTTCACAGCAAGGAGAGATGAACATCCTCAGCAGATGATCCTTTTTTCTGCTTTAGAGCTCAACAGGAGTGGAGGTAGCTTACCTTGAGTGTGAGTGTTGGAGCAGCGTAGCAGCGTGAAGAGGGCATCCTGTCTGGTTGGACGGACTTCAGCAGACCTGCAGACTTATACTGAGGGAAGCTGGAGGGGAGGTCAACAGAACCAGGCTTCCTCCCTCCTCCTCTTCTGACGTAGTTTTATGTTCGGATCTCATCCCAAATTGCTATCAGATTATTTACTCTGTCATATCATTGTAACAAGGAACTAACAGGATTCCTTATTTTTCTAGCATCGGAGCGAGAGCTGAGAGGGGGGAGCCATCAGTTCAGTAGCTTTTATTTGTCCCAGTATGGGCAATTTTTGTGCACTAGTAGTACACCTTTCACACACACGTTCACATTTCACAAATCACAGATTAAAAATAAAAGAAGAAACACATAAAATATTTAAAAAAGATAAAAGTAAGGTGGATAAAAGAGAGAAAAAAAATTGTGTGCAGCCATCAATGTTCAGGCAGAATAATTAGCGTTCATAGAGGTCCAGGTTCTGTAACTGGGAAAGAGAACATAAATCTAACTGGTTCAGGTTCTATAACTGGAAAAGAGAACATAAAGGCTCTTCCATAGGTTTGTTTTTAAAGGCGGTTTTAAAGCAGAGCTATAATTATTCTTCTATACCTTCTTCATAGAGAAAAAACATTCAGCAACAGCAGAATATTACCTACAAACATGTTCGTTCAGTTTAACTGGGTTTCTCTAAAGGTCCTAACCAAACAAACATGGTTCTGGTGCAAAGTTCAGATCCAGATCCAGTTGCTACTTTGCTTCCTAACATTTTTCCTGTAAAATGTTTTTTTCTTCAATCTGTAAAAGCTTTTCTTTGGACCTTGACTGCTTTTTCTCTCCAATATCTGATTCAGTCTGATTTTTGAATCATTCAGACAAACTCCAATGTGTTTACAAAAATGGAGAAATAAGCAAAGTCTTGATTCCAAATACAATCTTTAATCACTCACTTTTTCCCAGCAACTGAGGCTGAATCTATGAAAATACAAAAAATAATTACTGTCCAACAGAACTGAAAACTTGAACGTGGCATTCAGTCTGTTAACTGAAGGATCCATCAGATTTCCTTCCTCTGTCTGATACAAGTGATTGGGTTTTTGACATGTTTTTGTTCCTTTTTGGATCATCTTTGGGGACGTGCTGTAGGGATTTATAAAAAGAACGGTAAACAAAACAAATATAAGGAGGCAGGCTGACAACAATAAGAAATGAGATTCAGAAAAACAAAAATACCAAATGACGAGGACCACTTTAAGGTTAAAATAAAAATGTAAGGACTGTTTTCTTAGCATGTCAAAAAAAAAAATCAAGCATGAGATCACAGCTGAGAATTGGACCAGATTTTAAACCCATGTATACAAACAGCAGCTGGTTCACCATCCACTCCAAGATCTGTCAGTATTTCTCCTTTCTTGTAATATTATAAAACCTTTTGTCCACCCTGTGTTTTATTAAATCCTGTAAAACAGGACACAAATCTGCTGAATGAGATGATGCTATAATAAGAGCACTAGTGTGAATCTGCTGCCCTCTGCTGACTGAAATATGTAAAACAGAGAGGATCCTGTGCTTTAGGTCCAATCCCTAACTGGCCCCTAAACACTAACCCTGAGCACCAACCCTCTGCTTGCAGGTTTCCATGGAGGGTCTGCAACATTAAGTGCCATCTCAAACTGCGTAGTGCATAGATGAGTGGATCGTTCATCCCCTAAATAGCCAGTCAGCCTCATTGCAGGCTCGCTGGAACATAAAAATATTGGTAGACGCCTCCCTGGCAGCGAGACCGACGTGCCTAGAGGGCGGCCATCTTGGATCAGACCACAGTTCAGGCAGCTGCTGTCAGAATGAACAGTAGGCATCTTAGATCTCATTTTAAATCACATGAAAGACAAGTCAGAAATATTAAAATAATCTCTTACATATCACAGCCAAAGACCAAAAAGAAATTTAAAGTTACCCCTCAGATTACGCATATTCATTCAGATTAAAAACTATTTAAACTGAACTCAAACTGGATGAGATAAATGCAAGGTATACAAGTTATATATTTTTCAATTAAATGTTAATGATAAACGTTTTATATAATATATGATAGGATTATAATAATAGGATAGGATAATATATGATCGGCAGTTGGCCGCTCACACTGAGCCTGGTTCTGCTGGAGGTTTCTTCCTGTTAAAAGGGAGTTTTTCCTCTCCACTGTCGCTACAATCATGCTTAGTGTGAGGGATTGTATTGGAGTCAATGAGTCAATGCAATCAACTGGTTTTCCTTAGATAGAAAACTTTGTATCAATTTGACTGTATGATCTGGTTGAACTGTAAAGTGCCTTGAGATGACATGTGTTGTGAATTTGGCACTATATAAATAAACTGAATTGAATTGAATTGAAATTGATTATGTTTTCCAAATATACATCTATATAGTATATTACTATTATTCAGTATTTTTAAGGATATCTTTTTGAAAATGAGTATAATGATCTATAGAGGAACATTTGTTCTGTAAATTACAAAGGAGAGTAAAGTTAATATAACCATTTATGTTTTTTTTTTTTACTAATTTGAAGTTAATTTTTATTTTTTGTCATTGTGAAGACTTGTCAAATGGTAGTAAATGGTAAATATATGTTGTGTCTATCTAAAGGCTTTTGGTCCTTATAAGGCAAGTAAATTGTTGAACCTCGCCTGTTCAATCAGGGCAACAATTCCCTTTAACTCCCTTTCAAAACAATAGACCAGTATCGGGTATTACAGGCTAACAAAGAAACCAAATGACCCCCATTCTAAAGTGGCGGACCTGTTCATTTGGTTCAATTTGCATGTTTTCAAAGTCAAAACAAGGCTTAGAAAACTCTCACTCTATAAAGCTCTGGAACTCAACCCTATTTCTGACATTTCGAACTGAAAAAGCTTCCTGGATGGGAAGCAAAACATCTTCAAACTTGGAAACAAAGTCCAGTGGATTATTTTTTAACCTTTTTAGAATATAGACCATTAATATAATAATTTTTTGATTACAAATTATCCCCTGGATGATCAATTAAACAGAAGCTTATGTAGGTTTGTGATTTGGGGATGAAATGGCAATGCACAGGAGCCTGTTCATCGCATTTCTGCTTTTTTGCTTAAAGGGGAATTTCAATTTTTTTTTTTTTAGGTTATATCAAAGTAACGTCTTCCTATGGGCAATGACCTGAAGGCACAAACTAAACTGTTCATAACTTATCATTTATGGTACGCCAGCATTCATAACGTAGGTGAATCACTGTCCCCCAGACATCTGCGGTTATATTTTTTATATTTATATATTTTAAAAACAAATGCAGCACGTGTATGACATCATCCACACGCGCCAGCTACCGTTCATTCAGCCTGTCCGCTGAACTGCAGCTAGTTTTTTTTTTTTTTTTTTTTTACAGTGTCCTGTCTGGCAATGTGGCAATAAGAATAATTGTCTTGATGCCAAAAAGAGCCCAACAGAATTTACTTTCACAAGTGTAGCAGTATGGCAATTGCCATATTGCTCCACTTGTTTCATGCATACAAATTGCTTTATTATAATTATGCAGGGGGTTTTACAGTTTATATGGACACTGCAATGTAAATAGAGCAGAAAAATAGAGAAGAAAAGGAAAAAAGAAGAGAAAAGATGAAAGAAAGAAGAGATAGAAAGGAGACAATGACAAAACATTTTCAGTCTGCTTCATCACCTGTAACGAGATGAAAAAAGAACAGCACAACCGAAAGACATGGTACGAGATATACAATAAAGCAACACCTTGAAACTATCGCTAAAGTAATATTATTAAGTCTGACATGTACTCTGTGTTACCTGAAGATACGGATGCGGGCTCTCTGTATGGAAGTGAATCTCTGAGTACCTGGAACCAAGCACCTGTAATTGTTTGTGAGGGTGCACTTGTGCATGCCAAGTTTATCCATAGAAAAAATGCTCAATAGTGGTTGTAGAGAGCCGGAGAGCCACACCCCCCAGATCACTGAGTCCAGCGCCGGGAGACCAAAAGCCCCAGGCGCCCAAAGGGACCCCAAGAGCGAAGGCACCAAGGAGGGGCCAGCCCCGGAAATCGGACCCCCACCAAGGGAGGAGGAGAGACAGCCCCCAAGAAGCCCCCCAGCCACCGCCATGCCGGCGCCCCGGGGAGCCGCGGAGGTGAGTCCGCGGGCTCCGGCGTCAGCCGGCCACCCTGAAGTAGGGCCGGGCAAAGAACACCTGCCCCCCCACGGCACCGATCGAAACACCCCGGCCCCACAGAGCGCCGAAACACGCCCCTCCCCCCGGCACCAAGCCCCGGCGACCGGCCGCAACACCCAACGCGACCGCACCACCCCCGAAAAACACACCGGCGGCCACGCCCACCGCCGTGGCCCACGCGCATCCGCCGCGAACTGGCCGCTAGCGCCGCGGAACCCCCCCAAAAAGGCCCCCAGGCAAAAAGCGCGGCCCTGCCCCACCAAGACCGACGCCAACAGCGCGCAACGCAACACACCGCGCACAGAACTGACCCAAGAGCAGAAAAGCCGCCCGGCGCCCGACCAATAGAAGAGCAAACCGTAGCCGGCGCAACCACCCCCCCCCCAGCAGCCCGCGGGCAGCACAGAGCCAGAGCGGAGCTAACCACGCCGCTCCCCCACCGGACCAAGCCAGAGCAGCACAGCCGCTCCTGCCGCCCCCCCCCTCGCCGCCAGCACAAGCCCACCCACCCCGCAGCCACACCCGCCGCGATCAGCGGGACCAAAGCAGCTCCACCATGCCTCCAAGCAGGAAAACCCACCCGAAGACCCAATCAGCGCAGCCAGCCCATCCACACCAGCCCCCCAACACCAACCCCGCCAGAGCCGCCCAGAGCCCCACACACCAGCGGCGCGCCGCCAGCAGGACCCCCACCCAACGGGGCCGCCCCCCGAGAGAACAGACATGCCAATCCCCCCCCGGAAAAAGAACGGCAAGCAGAAAAGCCCCCCAATGCGACAGTAGACACCAGACACTGACCTGCCCACAACCGCTCCCCCCACCGGAAGAA